CGGAATTAGACGGCTACACTGCCTACGGATCAGTCCATCGGTACCAATAAATGACTGGAGGTCCTTTTAGCGAATCTTTCATTAAATGAAACGATTCGCGTGACGATCGAAAGAATTGTTTTTCCAGCGAACGCTGGCAGCGCCGATACCCCGCGGCGATATAATACAGGCAGATATTGAACATCGACTTTGAACGTCGGGCCTACCCTTTCCAGGCCCGAGCCGAGGCCTTGTATAACGGCTCGTGTCCGTTTCCTCGCGCGTCCATAAATCGCCGGTTGGTGGCTATCGGAAAATTCCGATCGTGCGTGGATACCATATACGCGTGCAAAGCCGTGGAGTCGATCGACCGGCTGGCCACGGTTCTCCTTGCACATTCAGCCGCGCGCACTGCTGCGTTCGGGATGTCCGGAGGCTTGTTGACGCAACGAAAAATGAAACACCTTGAGAAATGGGCAGCCTCGGCGAGCCGTTGTCGACAGAACGGGGACTTGACGTCGGTCACGCGTGCGCTTCTTTACGGGCATAGTGATCACTTTGGGGTGGTCCTCGGCTGTTGTTGCTGATCGGAGTCTCCGGTTCGAACATCTTTTGTTTGATTCATCGGTGCGTAAAACAATTATTATATCGCAGTGTGGAAAAGGAGAACAATAGGTGTAGTAAATTGTGCATTCCGTGCTTGATATGGTAGCGAGATGAAACAGATTTTGTCCTTCAAGTCGAAACAAACTTCGTGCCTGGAGCAAAGTTGGCTTTCTAGGAGGGTCCATAACGATCGATGCATGAGAGATATTGCAGATGTAAGATTATATTCACGTGGACATGGGTATGGAGACTTAGGGGTTGTTAGAACCACGTATGCCAGAGGAACCTAAAGTTCTGCATTGTCCTAGGTTAGAGTTTATTCGTTTTTCACGAATGTCGATATTAATCGGACCATTTCGATCCTCCTAACGAGCTTTCCACGAAGTTATGAGTATAACTTTGTGGCAGCTTGAGGAATAAAATTCATTTCAGCTCGAATAACACTACTGTGTACCGTTGCACCAGCATCGAAATGTATTGGGTGACTGAATATTAATGCGACGCAGGAATAATACATTATCTAGTATATTGTTTGTTGCATTACAAATTCGATGTGTTGAAAAAATAAAATTTACGTTTCTGTTAAAAAGATTATACGTTCTAACGAATCACACAACAAAAAATGTATAAACTATATCGTGGTCAAGTGTACATTGTAATAATGAATAAAGTACTGTAGTGTCCGGATATCGACACAAGTCACTGTATATTCGTGGTTAATCAAAATTAAATAATCCTTACTTCCATTTAGCCAGCAGCGAAAGTTATTTATGAATCAACCCAGTACTTCTGAAAATATTTCCATTTCGGTACATGAAATTAGGTTCGTATTACAATTACATTGCCAGCGTCGTATGTTATCTGTCCTAACAGCGACAAGGTTGTACACTATGTTTATAAGATTGATAGAGCTGCCGAAAGCACCTTATTCAGTGAAACCCTAGATGGAGCAAGAGCAGTGGCGACACACTTGTTAATGGAGATTGTAACAGGGGAATGTTGATTCAATGATAATAAATACCAAGGAAAGCTTAGCGTTTCGATAGGCCAGTTTGTTTGTACGTGATCAATCTTCCACTTTGCAACCACGTACTTCATTAATGTAGGTTGATCGAGGATCGTACAGAGACAATGTACACGAATTAGAAGAATGTGAGTGACAGGTGTAAAATATAGCGAGTTTTCAGAAGACCAGGGAAAACTTGCTTTTCCGTCCCATATTATAAATTGTAAACGATCACGTCGACTATCAAATAGTAACTGACGTTAGGAGATGTGTTTACAGCTTGCTGAACATAATGTAATTAAGAAATATGAAAATATATTAAGTTTTATAACATAAATTCAAATAAATATCGTAGAATGATTAAATCAGATGTAGCTTTCATCTAACGGTATGTAAAACTACATAATAAGAAAGAATAGCCAAAAAATAATCGTCAGTAACGTTACAATTTTTATGCGACTGGTGAGGTTAGCCGATTTGTGCAGTGAATGGCTCACGTATCCTTTCTTACTTCAGACAATTTTTTTTTTTTTTTTTGGTATTGCCAATTTACGTTTTACTTGGACCGACGGAAACCAGTAGTCGAACACCCCGTGCATGCACGAATTAGATTACTTTCAGGCATGGAGACGCGATGAAGACGTCTGACAATAATAATCACAGTAACAGTTCACCTTGGCGCGTTTCTGAACGCGAAGTTGTCAGGATGAGGGCCTGGTCGCATCCTCCAACGACCAAATTGCCTATTCCAGGCGCGCTGACGGCGATTCGCAAGAGAAAAATATTCCCAGCGATTTCGAGCGACGAACACGGCTCGCGACGAGCCTGGTGTGACTACACGACAACGATGCCCCGGGGCAAGGACTACGGGTTGCGACCCCAATCGCATTCGGATACCGCTTTGCGCAGGTGTGCGTGGTCATTAATCCAGAAATGGAAGTGAATGCGGGTCCAAATGCTGGCCAGGGAGCGCGGCACGCTGCCTCGCGTCTCTGTTCCACGCCTTGCTTTTCGTCGTTTTTCCTTTTTATTTTTTCATTCCCTTCGTCGTGATTCCTGGCAATAAAAAAGGGGCGTGTCTCGTGCCCCCAACCGGGGCGATTTCGCGGTTCGAACACTTAAGCGTACCGTGTTGCACGGTACTTTACGCGAGAAACGACTTTTTACCGGTGCGCCTATGAAACTGGTAGTTCTCTCCAGTGGCCATTAAGGTCTTTTAAGATTATTTCAGGAATTAGCAGTTCTTTTTCCGTTACGGTGTTTCAGTCGGTTGCACGGTATCGAAACGTGTCGGTGCGTAATTTCCTCTTCTTTTTTTCCACGAGCGAACGTTGAACACACTCGATGGTACGCGGCTCCTAAATCTCGACGAACAATTGGCCATCTCTAAATATGATTTGTATTTTGAGAGAGTCGTACATAGGTAGCGCCTCGAGAGGTAGTTACAGAAGTTGTTTCGGTACAGTGGAAGATCATTTCGCGTTACAGAAGGTCTGAATCATTGCGTTGCAAATGAAAGCATGAATTTTAACACGTTACCAACAGGTAGCGATTGGATATATAATTAAACTCACTAATACGTGTATTTTATCATAAAAATTTAATTAGAAAAGTAGAAGTAATTTTTATAATAATAAACTTTATGACTACTTTAACATTCTCTTTCATTACGTGTTCCTAATTTTCTGTTACGATAAAAACGAACTTAAACTGCGATAATAACCATCGAGACAACGATCTACAGTGAGATTCGTTACAACGAGACACGATCAAGTACACCCGTACCCGAACGAAAATTTAAAGACGGTTTTCCCAAAAACAAAGCCTCGCGTAAAAATTTTTTATTCTATATTTTCGACTTATTTTTTTATGTAGAATCACCCCCTTGTCGCTTGTACCATCGCACTTTGTTTCAAATCAAAATATCGATATGTTCAACAGAAATTCTCAAATTATAGCAATAGCAACTGCGTGTACCTTTTAATGAAGTTTCAACGCGGACACCTTCTCCGTATCAGGAGGACGTGTTCTAGAGGCCACGGGGCGGTTCAGAGACATTTATCGCGCATCGATCGTGTGGCTAATCGTTAATGATGGCGAGGCAAGGACGCAACCTATCGGCCAGCCTTGGCTCGTTCGTAAAACGCGGCGCAACCGTAGTCGACGTCGGGACGCGCATCGGTTTTCCATAGAATGGTCGGGGTCGGTGGGCTCCACGCGGAAGAAAAATCGAACATAATTAACCCATAAAGCAACGCAATCGGCGGAGATCTCCGCGAGTTTACCCATAAGCGAGCGCTGGGGCCACTTTCCAGCCGCGGTATTCCGCGGTCTGTGCATCTGTATGCACCCGCATCCACCTGCGTGCACGTGCAGACGCGTGCATGTATACAGACGCACGTAGGGACAGGCAATAGAGCCGATAGGCGGTTAGCTTCGCCTTCGGTTCATAATGTGGAATTGTACGGTCTTGCGAATGGTGGAATTTTAAACGCGCCTCTCGAATGCACCTTCTGCGCGCCTGTTATCGCGACCGGGCGTTAAACGCTCGTGATCGTCCTCGTTGCAGGTGCGCGATGAGGATCACTGGATTATGAAATCAATCATTTTTTCTAGCCTAGGGATCGCGTACGTCGAACTCGAGTTCTGGAGGTCATTTAGAACTCCTGGAGAAATTTTATAAGTAAGCGCTTCTTTAATTTGTCGAATTGGTCAATTGTGCCGCGTTAAATAAATTCTGTGAAGCCTGAAACGTTACGATGTCGTACGCAAAGCATTTGTTAACAGACTTCGTTTCGAATAAAAATTACAGAGAAAAGGGAAATTTTTGAACGTTAAACGTATTAGTACAAGACATTAGTATGAGGCAGACTATAGTCTTCTTCTTGTAAAATGAAACAAAATGAGAGACAAAATTTCTGTAATTTTTTTTATTAAACATTGACAGCCTCCGGCACGAATTTCTGGGATGAACTAATAACATGCATCGATATTATAAAAATTCCTACAAAATATATCGGAATAAAAATTCCTCTACAGATTACAATATACACGAAGATGATAGAAATCTCTTCATAGATTACAATGTCTTTCTCGTAAAGTATCGACGAACTCGTCCGAAGACATTCGAATCATGCTTGCATACGCCTACCCAAACCATATTATTCAAATCATACCAGCATGTATCATCCAAACTACCTACTCGAAACCTTTCAAATTGTGTATATACCATAAATGGGTTACGCGTGCTATGTATGCGCATGTTGCTTTACACAAATGCACGGATCCACCTTCTACCTTTACAATATGAGATTTCTGTTCGCAGGCTTTCTATTCACTATCGAAACGAACAAGGAAGATCCCCTTTCAGGTGGATAAACGGACGCGTCGTTAAATTTCATTCACTCACCGGTAGATATGGAGAGCGGCGGTGGCGTGGGTGTCGTCGAAGGTGAAGGGATTCTTCTAGCCGCTGCTGTAATTATAGCCGCTGGACTGTACCGAGGCACCTGCAACACCACAGGAGTTTTCACGGACAGGTCCACTGGTTCCAGCTGCACCGGCGGTCCCGCCGCCTGAAACAAGAGCAAACACGGTCGTTAGTTACTGCGCGACAGGTACAACGCATTTTTCATGAAATTATCTATCGAGACGGTATGAAACGCCAATTATCTCGACAGCGATTGCATCGTGGTTAACTTTCTTGACGCTTGTGCGCTGACTAAATAATAGAACACATAGAAAACTATGAATTACTTGATCCGGCAGGTCTTGAAAACGCTCTGACCGATTTTTTTTCCAAATTTTTTCATTTAAATCTGCTAAATTACATCTAAACTTAACTAACTTGGAATGCTCCACAAAATCAAAATATGATTCAGAAAATGTACAAAAACAATTAAAAATGCGGCACCTGTAGATGCCTTTCGGAATTGACGGGTTAAGCGTAATTAATATATGGATTATAAAAGTTTAATAACTAAGGACTGTATCTATTTTCGTTGAGTAAAATGAATAGTATATTGTGGCTTCAATTTCTACAGGAAGAATTCCGTTAAGTACAGCCGAAATTGTGTAGAATATAATTATTCGAAATACTTCTCGGTAGCTTGTATATTCAAATATAATATTGTGCATAATACAGGAATGGCGAGTAATTGCCCTCTTTACACTTATCGTTAGACCACTTCTACAGTCTCTCACCGTTCCCTCTCGGAAAACTCTCTTGACGCACTCACAACTCGCTATACTCGCTACACCCCTCTCTCATAACGCACTGGTTGCCTCAAGAACGCACTTACCTCCGCACACGCGCACACATGTACACTCGTTGCTACCACTCAACCGTTCTGAAGCACGTGCATTCCGAGAATCCTCATTTTCTAGACATCGTGGTCATGCCAAAACCTCAAAAAACTCTTCCACACGTCTACGTAGTAAATATGATTGCGTGCATTGTACGCGATTATTGTCGTTACAAGCCGATAATCTTAAGATATCATCGACTCTATTTGAATGATGTATGCGTTGGTATACAACAGCATCGAGAATGTTTAATTATGTATCGTTAATTCTGAATCAACTACAAGGAATAATGCAATAATAATGCATTGATAAACCCGTTTACTTTTCTTGATTTTTACGAGTGACCTGCTTTTATATTACTTCTTACTACCTACAGAATAAAATGAAATGAACATTAAGCAATTGAACAAAAGAAAACGAGCTGTTTGATACCGGAAAATTAACGAAAACAATTAACATTCACGAAACGTCGTGAATTCGTCAGAGCAAATCGCACAGTCGTCGAATGGAATTCATGCATCGCAGTCGAAGCTATCGTACTCCAGTGATCGGCCAGCCGATCTGAAATCCCTCGGAGGGAGTGAGTCCGATAAATCGATAGCCAAAGGTACTACCTTCGTACCTAGCTTATCTCCAGCAGCGCTCGATGCTGGTAGCAGGCCGAAGTGCTTTCGCGCAATTAGCATAACTAGCGTTGCTATTGACGTGGACTAATCACGACCAGTTCCCACGAGATCAGAGTGACCCGAGCTGCCCACTTGTCTATACGATCGAGCCTATCCAGTTGCTTCCATCGTCTTCGATCGTCTGCCCGATCGACAGGGTTGACGCACGGATGACGAACGCGTGACGGAGTCAGTTTTCATTAGCGAAATACGTCATTTGTCATTTGATTTCAATGCTATATGGCTCTTTGGAATTTTTAGAAACGTCAAGGTGAAAATCTATGAATATTCATTATCAAATTCGTAACAGAGAGTTTAGCTGCGATAGTGCGTTTTAATAATTAATCTTGTAAAGTAACGAAATTTGATTTGGTTATCCAAACACTTCACTTGTTGGAGATGTGTTTAATTTCAGTGCACGATACTTGTGAGATATACATCAGAGTGAGACCTATACGAATCCAAATTTATAATAAAAATTTGAGTAACGTCAAGATTAAATCTATAAAATTCATTATCGAATTTATAATAAAGTACATCGAGTAATTTTCTTGATAGTAAGAATAATTAATATTTTTGTTATTCGGTTCGTTGCTAAATTAATTATTTTATTTAGAAATCAGAATTTGTTGAATTACGTCAAAGACTAACAAGAGAAAGTTACAAAGAATTAAAACAGCTAATCCCCGAGTAGTATCAATATTTGCAAACAGACGCAAGTAGAAATAGCCAGCAATAGACAGACACGTTGAGCAAGTCTTGCTCAATCCTGCGTGTACCTTATGAATATTCAAAATCGAATAACTCGAAAACGATGACACGTATAAGATAAAATTATATCTCAATTTCTTTATTCACTTTTACACGTAGAATCACCTTCTACATAATTATACCAGTAGACCTGGAACATCTGATACGAAGAACTGGTATTGCCACAACGTCCAATGAAGTTACCGACGATGAATGCTTTTCCAGGCATATGCAATGAAGCGTTTCGATGAAAACAGTTTACCATTAATTCTACATTTTTTTAAATTGTTAATCAAGCAATCAAGTTTACATGTAGAATTAAAGTATACAATTTTTACAATCTCTTTCTGTCCCTATTTGTATAATACGCAAATTATTCTGTGCTCTTTCGTTATGTTCTAATTTAAAGCCACTATTGGACTTAATATTATTAATTAGACAAGCAATATTTTGTATATAATTCTATATTCTCACTCTGAAGAGGACCAGAAATATTGTCGAGTGAAACGTTCAATTAGATATGACTGGAGAGATAATCTTTGACAATTACTCCACGCCAAGCATTCATTGAATTTATTCAATTAAGTTGTTTAAAATGTTCACTCGAGGCGTGTCTCTCGAAGATCATGGAATCCATCATGACTGTTCTGGCTCTGACGAGCGCACGCATGTATCATGCAACCTTTGAGAAAGGAGGGTGGTGTTTACGGGTCGAGTAATTTGAAGAAATCGTAATTTCACACGACGCAGAGATCCGAGGCATTAATTTGTCTTCGTTACGTTTTTGCCAGCGAGATAATTATACGATCATCGTCGGTGTTGGCCTGTCGCGCTTAATTACTTGCGCATTTCCCTCCGTTTGAGAAGATTTATGGCTGTACCACACGCGAGAACGACATCCAACAACAAAATGGCATCTAATTTTTAATCTAGCTCATTGAATACGATTCTAGTTGCTCCAGATTAATCTCCTGTCTGAAGTTATGCGGAGAACAAAAGAGATCCTTAGGTGTCTGAAGTCTTCGACGAATATAACGCTGCTAATATTCGTAATTTGTTTCGATATACAATCTGTTGCCTGGTTTAAGTATAAAGAAGAAACGTGCTTTAACCATTTAGTCAAAATAATATTAATCGTCTATGATAGATTAGTCTGCGATTGATCAGAGCAAATTGAGAATAGGGAACAGATGCATATGAAAATCGGATTATCACGTAGTAAAATGTATTACTCGTTTGACAACGATATATTAAAGTGTCTGAAAGAGCGAGGAAAGCATTCCTATTTTATTAAAATATTTGGACTATCTGTGATTTAGGCACGCATAAATTTCCTCGCCAAAACTATAACATCACCAAAAGAAGAATGCATCTTCGGTGCATATAAACGAAGACTGATAAAGGTGTACGAACGACATCTAAAGAACTTTTTATTTCTAAAAGTATTCGTGTTTTAACGTCTGGAATATTCAAATTAATTAATCGTGGGTATCCAAAGTAATTAATCATTGGAAAAAATGTGTACAATCATGTAGAAATTATTTTCATCAAATGCACGACGTTTCACAAATGCTAAGTGTGTACAATCGTATGGAAATTAATTTGATTGAACGTACCGTACTTTAAAAATACTAAAGTGCGATTAAAGTTTCATTTATACAAGTGACACATCATTCGTCACGAAGGTGGCGATTAATAATTTTTAAAAATCTGGGACATCCAACGATATTAATCATTGGGAAAAAATGTTTACCATCACGTGGGAATGATTTTGATTAAATGAACCGTGTTTCAAAATTAGCAAGTGCGATTAAAGTTTCACTTACACACATAAACGACATGTCATATGAGACCTAATAGAAAATGGCTAGACGAACGATCAAATTTACAGCGGCGTGTCTTCTACCACCGAGAGCGATTGTTTCCTGGTAATGCCTTGACGAAACGTGGGAATGCTCGAGCATGTATCGACGATGAAAAGCGAGCCCCCGTAGCGCGCCTCTTACAGAGTCAGACAAACGGTATCGCGTCGTGAAACACGATACACAGCTAATAGCGTAACTTCACCAACGACAGAATAATTCTATGAAACTGTCACGTCGCCATTAACAAATCGTGGATAATGCAGCTGAGAGAATACGTCATCCTCGTCGTGGAGCAAGTCACGCTGACTGCTATCGACTTTTCGTGTTTACGAACGTTCCAACCCCGTGGTCACGCGACAAACGAAAATGAGTATTTCTAACAATAAGATGCAATGGATGAGTATCGCATCCAAATTAACCTACGGACCTTCATTTTCTTTTCTTTTTACTGGTTTAACCGTAGGGTTTGTTCTTTCAATTGGAATAAAGACATTAAATTTTCTTTTTTAACTAAGATGTGTTTCTAATAATTTAAAATAAAACCTCGTAACACATTCACGACCACTAACGCGAAGTCACATCACTTCAAATTCTGTTCCAAATTATGAAAATCTTTTTATTTTATCATTGCCCTAACGATATAAATTTGCGACGTCCACCTTCAGAATTGTATCATTTTCGTCGGTACTCGGAAACCTAAACGATGTGCCGGTCGCGAATGTGGAAGTCCCTGTGTAAAAAGTTAAAGAGAAGTCGTTAACAACGATTGCGATCGCTAAATACCAAAAAAGGGTAATAGTATCAAGTGTGAAACATACTTGAAACATAATTCAATCTACATGTCATGGGTTAAAATTGATCCAATTTCGCAGAGACATACAAGATCGACGTCCGTTCGTTTATGGTAATGATGTTCGTAATCGTTGATCGTGTCGCAAGCAGAACGAACTTGCGAAACGAGACGGTGAATCGATTCCAAAAAAGAGATAC